CTCGCGCGCGCTCTCTCTCTCTCTCTCGCGCGCGCTCTCTCTCTCTCTCTCGCGCGCGCTCTCTCTCTCTCTCTCGCGCGCGCTCTCTCTCTCTCTCTCGCGCGCGCTCTCTCTCTCTCTCTCGCGCGCGCTCTCTCTCTCTCTCTCGCGCGCGCTCTCTCTCTCTCTCTCGCGCGCGCTCTCTCTCTCTCTCTCGCGCGCGCTCTCTCTCTCTCTCTCGCGCGCGCTCTCTCTCTCTCTCTCGCGCGCGCTCTCTCTCTCTCTCTCGCGCGCGCTCTCTCTCTCTCTCTCGCGCGCGCTCTCTCTCTCTCTCTCGCGCGCGCTCTCTCTCTCTCTCTCGCGCGCGCTCTCTCTCTCTCTCTCGCGCGCGCTCTCTCTCTCTCTCTCGCGCGCGCTCTCTCTCTCTCTCTCGCGCGCGCTCTCTCTCTCTCTCTCGCGCGCGCTCTCTCTCTCTCTCTCGCGCGCGCTCTCTCTCTCTCTCTCGCGCGCGCTCTCTCTCTCTCTCTCGCGCGCGCTCTCTCTCTCTCTCTCGCGCGCGCTCTCTCTCTCTCTCTCGCGCGCGCTCTCTCTCTCTCTCTCGCGCGCGCTCTCTCTCTCTCTCTCGCGCGCGCTCTCTCTCTCTCTCTCGCGCGCGCTCTCTCTCTCTCTCTCGCGCGCGCTCTCTCTCTCTCTCTCGCGCGCGCTCTCTCTCTCTCTCTCGCGCGCGCTCTCTCTCTCTCTCTCGCGCGCGCTCTCTCTCTCTCTCTCGCGCGCGCTCTCTCTCTCTCTCTCGCGCGCGCTCTCTCTCTCTCTCTCGCGCGCGCTCTCTCTCTCTCTCTCGCGCGCGCTCTCTCTCTCTCTCTCGCGCGCGCTCTCTCTCTCTCTCTCGCGCGCGCTCTCTCTCTCTCTCTCGCGCGCGCTCTCTCTCTCTCTCTCGCGCGCGCTCTCTCTCTCTCTCTCGCGCGCGCTCTCTCTCTCTCTCTCGCGCGCGCTCTCTCTCTCTCTCTCGCGCGCGCTCTCTCTCTCTCTCTCGCGCGCGCTCTCTCTCTCTCTCTCGCGCGCGCTCTCTCTCTCTCTCTCGCGCGCGCTCTCTCTCTCTCTCTCGCGCGCGCTCTCTCTCTCTCTCTCGCGCGCGCTCTCTCTCTCTCTCTCGCGCGCGCTCTCTCTCTCTCTCTCGCGCGCGCTCTCTCTCTCTCTCTCGCGCGCGCTCTCTCTCTCTCTCTCGCGCGCGCTCTCTCTCTCTCTCTCGCGCGCGCTCTCTCTCTCTCTCTCGCGCGCGCTCTCTCTCTCTCTCTCGCGCGCGCTCTCTCTCTCTCTCTCGCGCGCGCTCTCTCTCTCTCTCTCGCGCGCGCTCTCTCTCTCTCTCTCGCGCGCGCTCTCTCTCTCTCTCTCGCGCGCGCTCTCTCTCTCTCTCTCGCGCGCGCTCTCTCTCTCTCTCTCGCGCGCGCTCTCTCTCTCTCTCTCGCGCGCGCTCTCTCTCTCTCTCTCGCGCGCGCTCTCTCTCTCTCTCTCGCGCGCGCTCTCTCTCTCTCTCTCGCGCGCGCTCTCTCTCTCTCTCTCGCGCGCGCTCTCTCTCTCTCTCTCGCGCGCGCTCTCTCTCTCTCTCTCGCGCGCGCTCTCTCTCTCTCTCTCGCGCGCGCTCTCTCTCTCTCTCTCGCGCGCGCTCTCTCTCTCTCTCTCGCGCGCGCTCTCTCTCTCTCTCTCGCGCGCGCTCTCTCTCTCTCTCTCGCGCGCGCTCTCTCTCTCTCTCTCGCGCGCGCTCTCTCTCTCTCTCTCGCGCGCGCTCTCTCTCTCTCTCTCGCGCGCGCTCTCTCTCTCTCTCTCGCGCGCGCTCTCTCTCTCTCTCTCGCGCGCGCTCTCTCTCTCTCTCTCGCGCGCGCTCTCTCTCTCTCTCTCGCGCGCGCTCTCTCTCTCTCTCTCGCGCGCGCTCTCTCTCTCTCTCTCGCGCGCGCTCTCTCTCTCTCTCTCGCGCGCGCTCTCTCTCTCTCTCTCGCGCGCGCTCTCTCTCTCTCTCTCGCGCGCGCTCTCTCTCTCTCTCTCGCGCGCGCTCTCTCTCTCTCTCTCGCGCGCGCTCTCTCTCTCTCTCTCGCGCGCGCTCTCTCTCTCTCTCTCGCGCGCGCTCTCTCTCTCTCTCTCGCGCGCGCTCTCTCTCTCTCTCTCGCGCGCGCTCTCTCTCTCTCTCTCGCGCGCGCTCTCTCTCTCTCTCTCGCGCGCGCTCTCTCTCTCTCTCTCGCGCGCGCTCTCTCTCTCTCTCTCGCGCGCGCTCTCTCTCTCTCTCTCGCGCGCGCTCTCTCTCTCTCTCTCGCGCGCGCTCTCTCTCTCTCTCTCGCGCGCGCTCTCTCTCTCTCTCTCGCGCGCGCTCTCTCTCTCTCTCTCGCGCGCGCTCTCTCTCTCTCTCTCGCGCGCGCTCTCTCTCTCTCTCTCGCGCGCGCTCTCTCTCTCTCTCTCGCGCGCGCTCTCTCTCTCTCTCTCGCGCGCGCTCTCTCTCTCTCTCTCGCGCGCGCTCTCTCTCTCTCTCTCGCGCGCGCTCTCTCTCTCTCTCTCGCGCGCGCTCTCTCTCTCTCTCTCGCGCGCGCTCTCTCTCTCTCTCTCGCGCGCGCTCTCTCTCTCTCTCTCGCGCGCGCTCTCTCTCTCTCTCTCGCGCGCGCTCTCTCTCTCTCTCTCGCGCGCGCTCTCTCTCTCTCTCTCGCGCGCGCTCTCTCTCTCTCTCTCGCGCGCGCTCTCTCTCTCTCTCTCGCGCGCGCTCTCTCTCTCTCTCTCGCGCGCGCTCTCTCTCTCTCTCTCGCGCGCGCTCTCTCTCTCTCTCTCGCGCGCGCTCTCTCTCTCTCTCTCGCGCGCGCTCTCTCTCTCTCTCTCGCGCGCGCTCTCTCTCTCTCTCTCGCGCGCGCTCTCTCTCTCTCTCTCGCGCGCGCTCTCTCTCTCTCTCTCGCGCGCGCTCTCTCTCTCTCTCTCGCGCGCGCTCTCTCTCTCTCTCTCGCGCGCGCTCTCTCTCTCTCTCTCGCGCGCGCTCTCTCTCTCTCTCTCGCGCGCGCTCTCTCTCTCTCTCTCGCGCGCGCTCTCTCTCTCTCTCTCGCGCGCGCTCTCTCTCTCTCTCTCGCGCGCGCTCTCTCTCTCTCTCTCGCGCGCGCTCTCTCTCTCTCTCTCGCGCGCGCTCTCTCTCTCTCTCTCGCGCGCGCTCTCTCTCTCTCTCTCGCGCGCGCTCTCTCTCTCTCTCTCGCGCGCGCTCTCTCTCTCTCTCTCGCGCGCGCTCTCTCTCTCTCTCTCGCGCGCGCTCTCTCTCTCTCTCTCGCGCGCGCTCTCTCTCTCTCTCTCGCGCGCGCTCTCTCTCTCTCTCTCGCGCGCGCTCTCTCTCTCTCTCTCGCGCGCGCTCTCTCTCTCTCTCTCGCGCGCGCTCTCTCTCTCTCTCTCGCGCGCGCTCTCTCTCTCTCTCTCGCGCGCGCTCTCTCTCTCTCTCTCGCGCGCGCTCTCTCTCTCTCTCTCGCGCGCGCTCTCTCTCTCTCTCTCGCGCGCGCTCTCTCTCTCTCTCTCGCGCGCGCTCTCTCTCTCTCTCTCGCGCGCGCTCTCTCTCTCTCTCTCGCGCGCGCTCTCTCTCTCTCTCTCGCGCGCGCTCTCTCTCTCTCTCTCGCGCGCGCTCTCTCTCTCTCTCTCGCGCGCGCTCTCTCTCTCTCTCTCGCGCGCGCTCTCTCTCTCTCTCTCGCGCGCGCTCTCTCTCTCTCTCTCGCGCGCGCTCTCTCTCTCTCTCTCGCGCGCGCTCTCTCTCTCTCTCTCGCGCGCGCTCTCTCTCTCTCTCTCGCGCGCGCTCTCTCTCTCTCTCTCGCGCGCGCTCTCTCTCTCTCTCTCGCGCGCGCTCTCTCTCTCTCTCTCGCGCGCGCTCTCTCTCTCTCTCTCGCGCGCGCTCTCTCTCTCTCTCTCGCGCGCGCTCTCTCTCTCTCTCTCGCGCGCGCTCTCTCTCTCTCTCTCGCGCGCGCTCTCTCTCTCTCTCTCGCGCGCGCTCTCTCTCTCTCTCTCGCGCGCGCTCTCTCTCTCTCTCTCGCGCGCGCTCTCTCTCTCTCTCTCGCGCGCGCTCTCTCTCTCTCTCTCGCGCGCGCTCTCTCTCTCTCTCTCGCGCGCGCTCTCTCTCTCTCTCTCGCGCGCGCTCTCTCTCTCTCTCTCGCGCGCGCTCTCTCTCTCTCTCTCGCGCGCGCTCTCTCTCTCTCTCTCGCGCGCGCTCTCTCTCTCTCTCTCGCGCGCGCTCTCTCTCTCTCTCTCGCGCGCGCTCTCTCTCTCTCTCTCGCGCGCGCTCTCTCTCTCTCTCTCGCGCGCGCTCTCTCTCTCTCTCTCGCGCGCGCTCTCTCTCTCTCTCTCGCGCGCGCTCTCTCTCTCTCTCTCGCGCGCTCTCTCTCTCATGCGCTCTCTCTCTCTCTCTCATGCGCTCTCGCTCTCATGCGCTCTCGCTCTCTCTCTGTCTCTCATGCTCTCTCGCTCTCTCTCTCTCATGCTCTCTCGCTCTCTCTCTCTCATGCTCTCTCGCTCTCTCTCTCTCATTCTCTCTTCTCGCTCTCTCTTTCTCTCTTCTCGCTCTCTCCCTCTCATGCGCTCTGTCGCGCGCTCTTTCTTTCTCTCTCCTCTCCCTCTCATGCGCACTGGTTCTCGAGCGCTCTCTTACTCTCATTGCTCTTTTTTACACTCTCTAACTCGCTCTCAAATGCAATCTCTCTATTACTCTCTCTCATTTGAGCCCGCTAGACAAAACAAGCAGTGCTGGATTTGTAAGACTTTTTACATTTCCCGGGTTCTTCTTTAAGAAATAAAAGTATATAATTAGATTTAGTGTTTTTGGTGGAACATCATTTGCCAGTTTAATGAATGAAAAGTTTTATACAAACGTATCCTTAAATGTATTCTCCTTTTCAGTGCAGGTGTAGAAGTTTCTTAATATTAATAATTCTCTAGTTCATCTAACATTTTTGTTTTACTTTCTATCCATCGCGTGGACCTTTCTTAAAGGAAATATTCATGTTTTACGTTTCATTTGTCATCAGGGAGGATGTTCGAAGGTTCGGCAGAGACGATGCTGGGATCACTGGACACCGTGACCTCTCTCAATGACAGCACTCTGCTGTGGCCGGGTAAGTGGTCACAAGGGACTTACACAATTCTATTTGTCACTGCTGATGGATGTGTAGGGAACTCGGCACTAGAATTCCCAGCTTTGATCCGTAAAGCTTTCATTGGATCCGAATTGTACAACAGAGACACCTAGTGGTGAGGACATTACATTGCAAGACCCGCCACCTGCCCACATATAGCTTACACAATGAGAAAATAGATTCTTTACTGCGTGTTCTATGCGTTCTCTGCTTTTTACATGTCTGTTCGAAGTTGGCCGACACCAGGGAAACCTTCTTTTTTTTTTTTTTTTTTTTTTTTTGGATAACGGGGGATTTTCTTTTTGGATAAAGTGGGGGAAGGGTTAGACTCTCTCTTGCTTGTACTGGAGCTGGACATAGAAACACATCCCAGTCAAACAAAAACCTTTAAATTTAAAGTGAACTTGCCCACCCTTTTTAAAATACACCATGGTTCCATCCTTTGCCTTCCACATTACTGCCGAGTCCTGTAGTGACTTAGGAGGCAGGTTCCAACATGCGGCAGGGGACACCTCCAGCAAGATTGAATACCATAGACGCCGGTGAGTTCTGTAGGGTTGCTTTTAAAGTAGAACTCCAGGAAATCTAACTAGAGAGGTCAACGGAACGAAGTATGAATGTGTGTAATGACTCTTACCACCATCCACTGTTTGCAGGAGCTCGGCCGTGAGGGACAATTTCTTTCCATTGTTCCCACAAGCCTTGTTAGGTATTCATGTGTCTCATTCCATCACAAATCCCAAAAATGAGAGGATCATTCCTCATTTCAAGACAGTGGGCAGAGCCATGCAAATCATTCCTTTTCATCCTAACAACCTAATGCACATCAACAACCACTGGCTTGTACTGCAAATACAGTCTAATATTATGGAGCCATTTATTCTGAACTGCATATAGATGTTTTTATGCTTTTTTGGCCATCAGTGCAATGTAGAGGAGCCATGACAGTGGCTTGGGTCCCCTGTCTTGAAATGAGGAATAACCCTCTAATTTTTGGGATGTGATGGAATGAGAGAATGAGACATGTGAATATCTTCTGTTTTCAGAAAGCCTTTACTGTTCTATGTACTCATTCAGTTTTTGATTACTTTGGTCCCTTCTTATCATAAACTGTATGACTACACTGTTCCCTTGTTCCCATAAATCACATTGCTCTATAGGGGATATGTGGGCCTCTTGTATAGAGCTTAATGCTGGGGGTTGGGGAGTCCTGTCTGCGCTTATGAGACTCCCTACCCAGATGCTCCATCCTTTCCTCTCTGAAGCCGCTTCCATTTTTCCTTTTGGCTCCGTCACAAGCCATAGATCTCTCTGTCTATTTTTTTGCATGTTACCATGAAGCTCATTGCACATTTGCTCTGAGTTTGATGAGCAACATTCCTCTCCGTCCTCGCTTATAAGAGGCAGATGTCTTTCTTGGCAAAGCATGCCTGAGTTAATGATCTTAAACTAATTTATTTAAGTCTCTGACATGGGATTAATTGGCACCATCCCTAACGAATGCAAAAGACTGCCGTACTTCTATAAATTTTATGGGCAGAATATTTTATGGTCGCTTATGCATTTTGGCCACATTGAGTAGGTTATACACTATACATATTCTGGACAGGGCTGTGGCCTCTGGTTACAGATGTCGGGGCTGTGCAAACCTCCCTCTCATGTCATGGGGTGTGTGTGAGTTAGCTTGCAGCGGGCTCTGATGGAGGTACCGCATGACTAAGGTCCCTCTCCTGCACAATAATAGTTGGGGGCTGTGGACCCGGGAGAGAGAACATGATGCTGGAACTTGCCTTCTCTTGCATGGTTCTGTCCTCTGTATGTGTCGGAGTACTCGTTTTTTTTAAGTCAGTACTAGGCATTTGTGAGAAATATCTTCCTTAATAACCCCACCAGGAGCTGGCACTTTAAGCCTTTGTAATGCCAGAGGCTTTCAGGTCATGTAATCTCCATTTATGGTTGTCACATGGTTAGGAGCCTATGACTAGGAGCTGTCTATCTGTCTACTTGGTCACTGTCCTGTGGGCACAGTATTGAATGCACTTTCAGCACAAAACAGCTTACATGTCTATGGCTGGTGGCAACAGGTAAAGTTACCATAGTGCAGTCTTCTCTCTCAGCGACCGGTATTTGTGCTGTTATTCAGTTGAATTTTTCTCCCTGTCAGAGCAGATATGTCAGTCCAGTGTAAGGTTGCAAGCAGGGCCGGATTTCCTCTCTCTGCTGCCCCAAGGCCAGGGGCCCCCCATGGAGAATGGCAGACCTGCAGGCTGCATACAAGTGATCTCGGCGACATTGCCGAGATCACTTGTACAAAACAAGTAGCAGCTTCCATGCTGTACATTTAGCTCTGCTTGTCCAAAGCGGGGCTAAATGTAGAAAACTACCCACCCAGCGCCGGGAACTGCATGTCCAGGGCATCGGGAGATAGGAATCCCACACCCCTGCTGCCCCTCTACTCCTTGCTGCCCCAAGGCTGGGCCTTGGTTGGCCTTGTGGGAAATCCGGCCCTGGTTGCAAGTCACCCATGGAAGCTGACCTGTCTCCTGCCTGGGCTCAGAACTGATAACTGACACTTTGTCTGGGATACTTGAGTAGAATATAACTGGGATACTTGAGTAGAATATAACTAAGTAAGTTATCAAAGCTTGTAGCTTTCTTACACGTAACGCTTATAGTACCAATGACAATGTGTCTGTTATCAGGCCTGAGCTTAGGTAGGAGATAGGACAGCCTCCATGGGGTCTTTTTAACTTGACGCTACTGCTTTGACCAGGATAGAATACAAGTAAATAATAAGTCATTCCTGAAGAGTTGATTCTGCACAGTTATATCACTTTAACAGAGGAGTGTCAGGCTATTACATACACCCTGTGGTGAATAGAATATGCTTTTATCTTATCCTACTGGTGAGCTGTGCTGGAACTTGTTGCCGATTTTAACACTTCACCCATTATCCGAGCTTCCTGCACATGTGCAACAAAATCTTACAGAATACTGTACTTTCATTATTAGGATCCTCAAGCTGTTTTGAAAGAGGCTCAAAAACAACATCATCTGGAAAGCCCCTGACTGCGAGTTCTTCAGATGTATACGCAGATCCTGTAAAACTGAATTTTTATTGACCGATGCCGAGCAGCAAAACTGAACTCTAGTAAACCCGCATTATGTGTATTCCAGATGTAGATAGTTGTGGACATCGGGTAACAGAGACCATTCTCTATCAGATATCTGAGGAATAGATGGTTCTTCCATAACAACCTAAGAGATTCTGTCATTTTTTTTTTTTAGCTGGAAATCTGAAAGGGAGAATCTGATTGCTTGCATTTGGCATTAGGATCAGCTCTTCTTTCCAACACTTCTGTGCATGAGACCCAATCCGTCATAGAATGCCAGACTCCAACACTAGAATATTACTTTCGGGTGTATCTGTCCTTCGAGTCAGCCTCTTGCTTCTTAGGTCTTGGATACCTCCAGCAATACGATCTCCCTGCTGGAATTCCTGACTTTCTACCCACATAGGAGTTTGGGGTATTCTGGGCCACCGTTGTGTATCCCAGCTCTCTGTGCAGACCCAGGAATTCAGCACAGGGATGATGGGAGCCCCTCATAATGGACATATCAGGTGTGCAGACCCGGGAACTCAGCACAGGGATGGTGATAGCACATCATAATGGGCACATCAGGTGTGCAGACCCGGGAACTCAGCACAGGGATGGTGAGGGCCCCTCATAAAGGGCAAATCATGTGTGCAGATCCGGGCACGCAGTACAGGGATGGCAAGATCTCATCATAATGGGCACATCAGATGTGCAGACCCAGGAACTTGCCACAGGGATGGTGGGAGCCCTTCATAATGGGCACAGGTGGTGGGCAGACCTGAGAACTTAGTGCAGGGATCTCACCAATGAGTTCCTGAGAAATAGAGACTTTAAAGGGTTTAATTGTCCACCATCTACTAAACATTTTAAATATCAGTTCTGGGTGGACTAACCCTTTAAGTACCCCAAATGTCTGAAATATAGATGTGTTCCCTAAAGCAGCCACTCAACTCACAGATGTCATGTTTCAGGTTTCGCTTGGAAAATGGCTGGATATGGCTGGTTGCTCTGGAGCATATAGACATTATTCTATGAAGTCTTTGTACAAGGTGGTCATTTTTTTTTTTCTTTCTTCCATGCAGGTCATGAATATGCTGTAGACAACCTGAAATTTGCAGACGTGTTGGAGCCTGAAAACGCTGTGCGCGACAAAAAGTCCCAGTGGGTCAGTCAGCAAAGGCTGGAGAAGAAGTGTTCGGTGGGTAGATGGTGGGATCGGGGATATATTGTTGTGACAGTTCTGTAACAGACCCAAGGATAAGATTTGGGGAGCAGGTCGGGCCATATACAGTCGGACACGGTCAAGAGAATTTACCAATGCCGGTGTAACACTTGGATCTACCTGGCTGGAAATAATATCATTGTTTACACCTTTTGTATCACACGTTTGCCGACGAATGTCTGTAAAAGCAATAAAAAGGTAAATGAGTCAGACCAGTACGTCATTGTCTCTCCCTCCTTCAGTACAATTCCCTATGAGGGTTCAATCCAGAGATTGTGCATCTGAAAGGGAACATACACTTCTGTGCTCTTTAGTAGACCCCTAGTGCTCTAGATATAGTATTTATTCATGTATTCGATCTAAAAGATCAGTTTAACATATTAAAAAATGTCCATACCACATTGGACCTAAACCATCATAGTTTTGCTATAACCGGTTAGCATAAACAGTAATGGGCAGTAACTGATAGCACTCGACAAGGTTTTCCCTTTCTTTGGTTTAGAGAAAACAGGACTGTTGGCCAATAATGATTGGCTGCTATGACTCCCTACCCTTTGCACCATGGTCTTTGCCTCATGACATTGGCCTTTGGTTATTAAAGGACTTTATTTTTTTTTTGCAGTGTCCTTCCACCATAGGTGAAGAGAAGGAGTACAATCCATTCCTGCGGACGCACTGTAGGGACTTGCACATGGCGCTGGACCTCCAGCGAGGGGCGGATGAGGAATGGAATCACTTTCGTGCTCGAGTGTTAGAGGAGGTCCGACGGAAAAAAGATCTCTTCAAGGAAAGATAGTGCCTCCGCCTACAGACACATGGACGGCTGTGCACGACGACCCTCCCCTCCCACCAGGCACCTGTATGATCCTGAAACTGTCATGTGTCACCTTCGTCATTGGTGTGCCGTGTAAACCTTCCTCTGTGTTCTACAGCGGAGATTATTATTCTGAGTGCGCTGAATCCTGCGTGGAAGAGCAATATTATCACTGTACAGAACTAAGCCCCGATTCTTTCCTTATTGGATGACTTTGCACTAATGTTTTGACAACTCAACATGACCACCTTCTAGAAACATGCCGGGGTACTTTATAGAAGAGTGTGGGGGGTCAGTGCTAGAAACAAATCTACCACTACATCACTAGTGTGCATCCATGTAGTGACTAAGTGCCACAAACAGGAGGATTCTAGGAAATGTAAATTTCTTCCTCTCATGCATCCTTCTCCCTCTATTGGCTACTGTTTCTCTTTTGGCACACCTTTTTTATATCCTTTTCCTGTGACACATCTTCATCTGCTCTCTCAGGTTTCTCTTACCACGATTTGTCTCTTTGCTTCTGATTTTTTCTTTCTTCCCTTTTATTTCACTTGGTCTCTCTCTTTCCTGTCTGTCCCTCCATCCATCTTTATTCTACCATTCATTCTATCTCTTTAGTTTACTTCTTTCTTCTTTTACTTCCCTTCCTCTGTCTTCTCTTTCTATCCCTCTTCCCTTTCTCCCTTTTGTCTATATTCCTTTTTCTCTTCCTTTCTGTCTTTCTCTCCCCCCCCCCCCTTCCCTACTCTTTCCTCCTTTTTCTTTCTTTT